CGCCCCCCCCTGGGACTCCTCTTCCCCTGGGCTCCAGCCAAGCCGACCTTGAGCAACCTCGTAATTGAGTCGAAGGGAAGCCCCTTCCCTTTGATCCCTCCCCCGCCGGGAGGGGGGGGGGGGGTGTCGACCCCCCCCCCGGGTCAGATACGACGCCCCCCCCTGGGACTCCTCTTCCGCCGACCCTGTCGGCGTGTGTGAGGGGCTTTTCCGTTCGAGCCGTCATCTCCGTCATTCTTTGTACTTGTCGTCTCTGTCCTTCCCTTTCCCTGGGAGACCTCTTCCCCTGGGCTCCAGCCAAGCCGACCTTGAGCAACCTCGTAATTGAGTCGAAGGGAAGCCCCTTCCCTTTGATCCCTCCCCCGGGTCAGATACGACGCCCCCCCCTGGGACTCCTCTTCCCCTGGGCTCCAGCCAAGCCGACCTTGAGCAACCCCTGGGCTCCAGCCAAGCCGACCTTGAGCAACCTCGTAATTGAGTCGAAGGGAAGCCCCTTCCCTTTGATCCCTCCCCCGCCGGGAGGAGGGGGGGGGGTAGCGACCCCACCCCCCCGGGGCAGATACGACGCCCCCCCCTGGGACTCCTCTTCCCCTGGGCTCCAGCCAAGCCGACCTTGAGCAAACCTCGTAATCTTTTGCTGCGCGAAAGCACCTTCCCTTTGATCCCTACCCAGCCGGGAGCGGGGGGGGGGTGTTTGTCGACCACCCCCCCCCCCGGTTCAGCTACGACGCCCCCCCTGGGGCTCATCTTCCCCGGGCTCCAGCCAAGACCGACCTTGAGCACCTCGTAATTGAGTCGAAGGGAAGCCCTTCCCTTTGGATCCCTCCCCCGCCGGGAGGGGGGGGGGGGGTGTCGACCCCCCCCCCCGGTCAGATACGACGCCCCCCCCTGGGACTCCTCTTCCCCTGGGCTCCAGCCAAGCCGACCTTGAGCAACCTCGTAATTGAGTCGAAGGGAAGCCCCTTCCCTTTGATCCCTCCCCCGCCGGGAGGGGGGGGGGGGTGTCGACCCCCCCCCGGGTCAGATACGACGCCCCCCCCTGGGACTCCTCTTCCCCTGGGCTCCAGCCAAGCCGACCTTGAGCAACCTCGTAATTGAGTCGAAGGGAAGCCCCTTCCCTTTGATCCCTCCCCCGCCGGGAGGGGGGGGGGGGTAGCGACCCCCCCCCCGGGTCAGATACGACGCCCCCCCCTGGGACTCCTCTTCCCCTGGGCTCCAGCCAAGCCGACCTTGAGCAACCTCGTAATCTCTTGCTGCGCATTGCGAACAGGGTCGGCGGCACCGGCCGTCAGGCCTTCGCAATAAAAGGAGTATCAGGCGGGGGCCTCGTCTGTGAGTGAATTGCAAGGAAATCTCAGGGGGGGAGCCCCCTCCCCCCCCCCCCCTTTTCATGATGGACTTGGGGGGGGGGGGTCGAACCGGTAGTGACCCCCCCCTGTTTCCAGGGGGGGGGGGGTTGGGAACCCCCAGTGACCACCCCCCCTGGTTTTCCGCCAGCAGCGGTAGAACACGCTCTTTCCGTCCTCCTTATTCTCCTTATCCTCCCCTTGCTGTGGCTGTGTTTGCAAATTATCTGTCCCCGTCATTACCATCATCTTCGTCGTACTGCTGACATTATCCCCGCTCATGCTGCACATCCTCACCGTCATCCTCATCCTCACGATCGAACTGATCATAAACTTCGTCGTCGAGGTCCCAGTGTCCATCGCCAACTTATCTTCTACGCTTTTCTACTGGTGGGCATTGAACCAAGCCATGAAGGGGAAGACAAGGAGACCTGTGTACATCGGAAGAGGTGGAAGAGAAGAAGGTGGCGGATGAGCAGGACGAGGACGGAGCAGGAGGACGAGGAGGAGCGGCCGCAACATCAGGAGCAAGAGTAGGAAGGGTGGAAGGAGCTGGAGGACCAGGGGAAGGCTGAGGAGGAAAAGGGGGCGACAACGAGGAGAAATGGACTCCGACCCAGAAATCAGGCCCGCGGGCGAGAGCCCCAATCTGAAAGGCGGGAGTAAAACGCCGATCCCGAAATGAGGCCAACGCTGCAGCGAGAACTGCCTCTTGAAAAACACAAGCGCTCCGATAGACAAAGAAGCAAAGTTGACATCATCTGCGTTGAACACCAACATGCTGGAGACAATCAGCCCGGCTCAGCCTGGATCCAGGGAGAGAGGAGAGTAGCATGAATGCTGAGCAAATGGAAAAAAAGGGAGAACGGAGGAGAGGGACGAAGAAGGACGGAGGAGAAGGGAGGAGGGGGAGGGGGGGACGAGAAGAGAGAGGAGGGAGGAAGCGCGAGGGAAAAGGGAAGGGGATGAGGAAGAGGAAGAAGAGGGAGGAAGCCGCGTGGACCTGACGGTGTCGCGTCCGTCTGGGCAGCTGGGGCTCTCAGAACCCATGCTTTTTCACGCGGCCGTTCGAGCCACGCACGGGGCGCGCGCAGCAGCGGATGGTGAGCACGGGGCTCCGCCCACCGTGGCACGGCGGGGCGAGAGCGGTCCGCAGCACCGCGCTACGCTGCGAAACAATGAAGGGGCCCTGGAACACACAAATAGATACACACAAATAAAGAGAGCCCCCATATTTTCCCAATATTTTCTGGGTTTTCGTCTTCCCCCCCAATTCCCATATGCTTGCCTATTTTTCTGGGGAATCGACGATTCATTGTGTCTGTGTGTTTCTTTCCCTCCTGACAAACCCAGCCGCACCCCAGGGCCATTCTCGGCACCACGGCGCACATCGCGGCGGTGACGCAGTTTATCACTGCACGACGGGCCAGCAGGCGGCCACTGCGCGTAGCAAGCTGGGCCTGGGGGGGGGGGGGGCTGCCCCCCGAGCGCAGCGGCAAGCGGATGCAGGACGCCGGGGACGCAAGGCGCCACCGAGCGGCGAAGGCGTGGGTGCGGAGTGCGAAGGTGTGCGCCAGACCCCAGAGCGGGCACGGGGCTGAGCCATAACCGCCCGAGGCGACGGCGCGTGGCGCCGCGGACCCCTACGCGGGCACGGGGCAGGACCCCCACGCGGGCACGGGGCACGCGGACCCCTGCGCGGGCTGTGTCATCCCGCCAGCCCTGTAGGGCTTGAGTGGTCCTGGGAGCTCGTTCTGCCAACCACCTTCTTCTCGTTTGGGCTTCGGGGAGGAGGGTCCCCCTCCCCGAAGACGCCCCGCGAGGTGTGAGCGGGTTCTTTTTGGCCCCAAGTGGCCTCAAAATGGCTCCAAAATGGCCCAAGAGGGCCCCCAGAAGGGCCCAGAATGGCCCCAAGACGGCCACAAGAGCACCCACGAGCACCCTAAGAGCACCCCAAGACGGCCGGCCCCAAGAGGCCAATTTTCGGGCCCAGACGGGGGAGCCTACTTGAATACCCTCTTTTCTTTGATCGATGGCTTCCAAGATGGTTTCAAGAGGGCCTCCAAGAGGGCCCCACGAGAGGCCCAAGAGGGCCGCAAGAGAGCCTCAAGAGGCCCCCAAAGTTTTCATGATGGCTCCAGCTCCATCATGGCTCCAAGAGGCATCCAAGAGGCACCATGAGCAGAAGACCCGCAGGCGACGACAAGCAACCACTCACCTAGGGCTACCACGAGGGGCCGCGAAACGCACGCAATGACGCGGAGGCCACCCACCAAACGCACAGGGAGCCTGTGGCTGCTTTAGTCGAGTGGTTGCCTGTCCTCGCTCTATGATCAAAGTAACTCGCCTGGTGTATGTTGTTGGATGGGCTGGTGGGGACACCTTTTGGTACGAGGGCGCGCGGAGACGAGTCGAACGCCGTGCAAGCTAGGGCGGGCCGCGCCGAAGCAAAGGAAAAAACAACGAAGCGAGCAGCGCCCGGCTCAGAGCGGAACTGGGCTCGGCGCAGCCAAAAGTGGGGCTGGTGGGCACACGCGAAGCGTCAAGAGTTCGCAGCAACGGCGTGGTCAGAGCGAACCGAATTGCCAAGAAGCACCACGCGAAATGGCAAAGCCGGCCTGCGCGGCCGACGAGGCAGCCGCGCATCCCGACGGGCACGGGGCGGGCGCGGCGAGCCGCGAGCCCTGCGAGAGCCTCGGGGCGGACGTCGCTGGCTACACCGCCTGTCACGCAGCGGCGTGCACAGCGGGGAGAGCCCAGTGGGCGGGATCCGCCGACCCGCCGACTGCGTAATAGGCGCGCCAACGGGCGCGGGGACGCGTCAGCCCGCAGTGCCGGCTTGCTGGGTCCGCCACGAGGCAGCGCGGGGAGGCAGGAGGAAGGAGAAACGGAGGAGGGGGGAGGAGCGTGAGGAGCGGGAGGGAAGAGAGAGGCAGAGATGCCGGGGGTGCTAAGTGGGACAAGACTTGACAGGCGTCGATACAGGACACGACAGGACATGGACTCTGGGGGAAAAAGGGAGAGGAGGGAGAGAACAGAGAGGAAGACGAGGACGACGTTGCTGCCGACGTCGCCGCCGCCGACGACGCCGACGACGGCCCTTTCCGGGCGCGGCTAGCTCGCCTGCGGCTGCGGCGGCTGCGCGAAGTGGCTTCCCCCGAGCGGCCCGGGCGGCTGCACTGGGAGCCGCCGAGCGCGGGGAGGGGGAGGGGGAGGGGGGGATGGGGGCAGGGGAAGGGGAGGGGGGGGGAGGGGAGGGGGAGGGGGAGGGGGAGGGGGAGGGGGGAGGGGGAGGTGGAGGGGGAGGGGGGGGGGGAGGGGGAGGGGGAGGGGGGAGGGGGAGGGGGGGGGGAGGGGGAAGGGGGGAGCGCGGGAGGGGGAGGGGGAGGGTGGGGAAGCTCTGATTTCTCGCTGCAGGAGGCCCAGAGCCTTGGGATCGCGCGTGCAGCAGACAGAGGGACAGGCGCACGGCGGTCCTCCCGCGCCAGCGCGGCGACGGGCGGCCCTCGCACGCTCGGGGGGGGGCTTCGCGCGGATGCCGGACCGACGGCGAACAGCGGCGGCCTGCGGCGGGAAGAGCGGAGGGCCGCGGCCGGCACGTCTCGGGAGCCTCGAGAGGCTCCAGACGGGGAGGTCCACGGACATTGGAGGAAAGCGGGGGAGAGGGGGGCTACGGACTGGGGACTACGGAGCGTCCACGAAAGAGTTCCAGCCAGGGGACTACCGTCGGGGGTGTGCAGGGCTGGTAAAGGGGCCTGCCAGACCTGAGTCCCCCGCCGACGGGCGAAAGGAGAGCGAGGGATCGCTTCCTGAAGCGTGGAACAGCACAAGAAGCCAGCAACACGTACGCCAGGGACTAGAGACCCTCAGGCGACACACACACACACACACACACACAAACACACACACACACCAATTTACCAATGTCGGAGAGCTGGAGTGAGGAGGGGGAGACGAGGAGGGGGAGGAGGGGAGAGGGGAGGAGCAGCGTTTTCGCCGAGGTACAGAGGTACTCGGAAGTCTCGGAAATGAGAGGCGGGGCGAGGAGGGAGCAGGACATGACTGACCCTAGCAAGCACCACCGGTGCTGCAGTGCAACATGCCGTCCAAAGTACCCCCTTTCTCTACCGATTCGTTCCACTTCGGCGGGCGCCCGCTGGAAACATCAGCGCGCCTTGGACCTGCACGTCGGGAGCCGTCTTAGTTTTGAATTGCGCATCCACGGCCACAGCCACATGAAATTGCTAAAAAAAATTGCGCCACCGTGCCCTGGGCCGCGAGCTGGAGTGCCTTCGGGTCCCATGGAGCTCTCAATACGAATCCCTGTGAGATCCCAGGAAGCAAGGCTTGCACCTCGGGCCTCTAACTCATGCCACGAGGACCTGGCCGGTCTGTCGGCCTGGCGGCGGTGCTGTCGCCGTCGCCGCCCCGTCGCCGCGCCGTCGCCGCCCCGTCGCTGGGGCCTGCCGGTCGGTCTGGCGGCCAGCTTGGCGCCGCCGGCGCCCCGTCGCCGCCTCGTCGCCGCCCTCTGAGCTGGACCTGCGCTGTCGGTCTGGCGACGATGTCATCACCGTCGCCGCCCCGTCGCCGCCGTCGCCGCTCGTCGCCACCGCCAGAGTTCACCATATGTGCACGGCTTCGCGCTGCTCTGCACCGCTCAGCATTCGTTTGCGCTGCTCTGCACTGCACGCATGCGCTTGCACGGTCACGTCTTGATGCGCACTGTTTTGCGGCGCGTTGGTTTGCGCTGTGTACAACATAAGTCACATCACACACACACACATTGCACGACATAGATGCTCCATTCTTGAAAATAATAGGATCTAACCCCCCGATCCCCCATGCCCGAAATTAACAATATTCCTTTTCGTACTGCAATGTACATGCGATTCTGCCCCATCGTCCATGCGAAATATGCATTCGCAGACCACGCCAGCCAGGCCAATATCGCCCCCCCTCATCCTCTGCAAAAGAGTACTACGCGCGCACGCGTGTATCAAAAATCATCAGCATTCGAGAACCCCTTGCAAAAATCGGGACGATGGGCACACGCGCGCGTCGTCGCGCACGCATGCCGAAACCCTCAAAAAACATCGGCGCCGCAAAGATCTCAAAATCGAGTGCCCCGAAAACAAAAATCCACCGGCCCCCTTGTGGGCCATCAGGCTGCGAGAACCTGACCAGACAAGAACGGGAAGCGTCCTGTTGTGTCCTGGGCTTATGAGATATCCTACGTTCTTAGTATGCGCTGCGCAAGTCTGTCGTGGCGTGCGTGCGTTTGCGCGTGCGCGTGCGTGCGTGGAATCTGTGCATGCGTGTCCGTGCGTGGTGGTCTGCGGCACTGCAGTGTTATGCCGTGCTGCCCTGCCGTGCTCCTGCGGTCTGCGTGAACGTAAATTGCATCTCTGTGTGTGCGTGCGTGTGCGTGTGTGTATGTGTCTGTGTGTGCGTGTGCGTGTGCGTGTGCCTATGTGCGTGTGCCTATATACGTGTGCCTGCGGGTGCGGCTGTGTGAAAAATGTTCTCTGCGTTCTGCCGTGCTCCTGCGTGTTCTGCAGTGCTCCTGTGTGTTCTGCCGTGCTCCTGTATATTCTGCCATGGTCCTGCTCTGCCGTGCTCTTATGTGTTCTGCCGTGCTCCTGCGTGTTCTGCCGTGCTCTGCCGTGCTCCTCCTGCTCCTGTGCGCTGCCGTGCTCCTGTGTTCTGCAGTGTTCCTGCGTGTTATGCCGTGTTCCTGTATGTTTTGTGTTCCTGTGTGTCCTGCCGTGCACCTGCGTGTTCTGCCGTGCTCCTGTGTGTTTTGCCGTGCTCCTATACATTATGTGTGTTCTGCCGTGCTCCTCGTGCTCCTGTTTGTTCTGCCGTGCTCCTGTGTGTTCTGCCGTGCTGCTGGTTGTTCTGCCTTGCTTCTATGTGTTTTGTGTGATCAGCCGCGCTCCTGTGCGTTCTGCCATACGTGGTTTTGTCGGGACGGGGGTTGTCGGCGGCGAGGAACAGCACCGTCTTCAAGAAGAAGGGAGGAAGCCTCGAGCGGGAGTGTTATTCTTGCTGGTAGCGGCGCCAATTCAAAAAGAGTTGGGCACCACTAGTCCAGCGTAAAACGGAAGGAAGTCTCGGGCGGGAGCGCTGGTTTTGTCGGGGCGGCGGTTTTCGGCGGCGAGGAGGAGCACCGCCTTGAGAAAAAAAGGGAGGCAGCCTCGAGCGGGAGCGTTGTTTTTGCTGGGGGCGGCGCCGATGAGAGAAAGACTAGCGCGCCAGTCCAAGGTAAAACGGGAGGAAGTCTCGAGCGGGAGCGCTTGTTTTGTTAGGACGGCGGCTTTCGGCGGCGAGCAAGAACACCAGCCCTGAGTAAAAAAGGAAGAAATCTCGAGCGGGAGCGTTGTTGTTGTTGTTGGGAGGCCAGTTTGGGCGGTCCCCCAAACCGCTCGAGCGTGAGCCTCATTTTCAATGAAAATGTAGCCGGCGCCTCGGCGAGAGCGCCAGGGCGCCTTTAAGGTGTCCAACAATAATAATTGTTTGGTAATGAACACTCAACAACCACACCAACAACAACAACAACAACAACAACAACAACCACAACCACAACCACAACAACAACAACAACAACAACAACAACAACAACAACAACAACAACAACAACACAACAACAACAACAACAACAACAACCAACAACAACAACAACAACAACAACAACAACAACAACAACAACAGCAGCAGCAGCAGCAGCAACAACAACAACAACAACAACAACAACAACAACAACAACAACAACAACAACAACAACAACACAACAACAACAACAACAACAACAACAACAACCAACAACAACAACAACAACAACAACAACAACAACAACAACAACAACAGCAGCAGCAGCAGCAGCAACAACAACAACAACAACAACAACAACAACAACAACAACAACAACAGCTACAACAACAGCTACAACAACATCTACAACAACAGCAACCACAACTGCAACAACTACAACAGCAGCAGCAACAACAGCAGCAACAACAACAGCTACAACAACATCGACAACAACAGCAACAACAACAATATCAACAACAACATCAACCACAACAACAACGACAACAATAAACAGTTTGATAATGTTCGCTTTTCTGCTCGTCGTCGTCTTCGTCGTCGATCGTTCCCCCTTGGGGGTATATCTTCCTTACCTGCCGCGCGTAAGTGGTGCAGCCCCTGAAACAAAGAAAGAGAGGACGGATGGAAAGGCGAGGGAAATGGATGCAGCACGGGATTAACAGAAGGAGGGCTAGAAGCAGAAAACACGTAGCCGAACCAAACGGGCTGATCGGGCGGGCATATCCTTGCGGGCAGGTCGGAAGGTGGGCCCAAGCGGGCAGATCGAGCAGGCGGGTTGCTGAAGCGTGAGTACTGCATGAACCGCGAGGAAGTCTCGAGTAGCGCGATTCCCAAGTAAATCGCGAGAAAACCCAAAGCGAGACCGCGACTCCTGTGCGTCAAGGGCGCGGCGTTTGAATGAGTTGCGAAGAAGTCCAATGCGAGAGCGCGACTCCTGCGTAAGTTGTGAGGATATCTCGCGCGAGAGCACGATTTCTCAATACATTGTAAGGAAGTATCAGGCGGGAGCCGCTGGTGTTGCAAACCAGGGGCCAACAACACATTTTGGTGGCCCCACACTTCCCCTTGTAAACAACAAGGTACGAGCCCCGGGAGGAGCACTTTCATTGCATAACAAAAAAAAACACCGGGCAGAGGGGATCAATAATCATCATCTTTAGAAATGGAAGTGCAACAGCGACGACGACGACGACAACAACAACCAAACACTCAACGACAACAGCAACAAAACACTAAACGCCAAGGATGTATTAGTGCAACTGACAGTCTGAATGAATTTCAAGGTGTACCCCATGTCACGACGCAGGCTGCAGTCGTTGAAAATGCATATGCGATACCCTCTGCGATGTGCAGTCGTTTTTTAGAACAGACAATGTAACTATGGTAAGATGGACGAATTTACGAGGCGCTGAGGCGAGTGTGCTAGCTTTCGCCACATTCGGCGGGTCAATAAGCTTGAGCCTGAATTGGCCCATGTAGTGCACACCACCTGCAAGCTGGGAAGATCGATTTCCTCTAGAAGATGCGCGTTCGGCGTGTGCAAATTACGTACGAGACGTACCCACCGCAACGGTGTCGTTTGGCAACTTCCAGGGGAGGCAAGGTCTGCCTTGGATCTACGTAGGGCGCAGCTCCGCTGAACCCTTGTGGCGCAGAAAAGCTGGGTGTCGCGTGCGCCTTGCAGCACGTAGAAAGCGCGACGTCTCATCGGGTCGGCGTCAGTCGGCAATTCGCCGGACGCCCCGATGCGCGGGAAAGCGGCTGTTCCTGAGCCCGAGAGGAAGCGAGAGTGAAAGAAGAGGCGACGAGAGAAACGTGAGACACGGAGGGGGACGAGGAAGGAAGGAAAGGAGACGGGAGAGGAGGGACGAGAAGGTAGTGGCAGGTGCTGTGTTCAAAACGATGCCCGATCGAAGGGAGGGCTGGGAAAACGAAGGAGGGAGGCAGTCCTCCCATCGGCTGCGGTGGCCGCACCCTGTTGTCCTGGGCGGGAGCCGCCTCTTGGCCCCACTCCTCGAAGAAGGAGTCGTCCACGTTGCTGGCCTAGCGTGGAGGAGCAAAGAAAGGAGGGAAGAGGAGGTGAGATGGAGCAAGAACAGGAGGGAGGACAAGAGGGACGCATGCGGCGAACACTGCCACTGGGGCCTTCGGTGGAGCTCCTAATGGGGCCACGAAACGCTGTACTGGGCGGGGGAAACGCATTCGAACACCGCCACTGGGGCCTTCGGTAGAGCTCACCATGGGGCCATGGGCCGACGAAACGTGTGAGGGGTGGTGCCGGAATGGGATGCGGAGGACAGAGGCAGGATGGGAGGAGAAAGAGACAGGAAGGAGAGGAAGGAAGGAGAAGGAGAGGAGAGGAGAGGAGAGGAGAGAGAGAGAGGAAGAGAGAGTAGGAGGAGGAGAGGAGGAGAGGAGAGAGGAGAAGGATAGGAGAGAGAGGAGAGGGCGGAGAGGAAGAGGATAGGAGAGGAGAGGAGAGAGAGGAGAGGCGAGGAGAGGAGAGGAGAGGAGAGGAGAGGATAAGAGAGGAAAGGAAAGGAAAGGAGGAGAGGAGACGCGGGGCGTTGTCTCTTTCAAAACGGGGACACAGCAACAGGTTGGTTGGGAAAACAATAACCATACGAAGACACATGTACTGTTTTGTGATGAGGGATTCCGTTAGTAATACAACATGCGTCATGTAACACAAATTTTGTTCATCTAAAATATATACGATCCATGGGCACATCCGGCAGAACAAATAAAGTTATATTTAAGGGGCCTCGTTCTTCATCGGATAAGATACGTCTCGTAGAAAGCACGCGCGTCTTGGCGGCAGCGACCCAGCCGCCAATGGGATTATGGGCCAACACCCCTGGACCAAGCAATCAAAAGTCCTGGTAGTGGAATGGGGGGGCCGAAGAAGCAGACTTGAGAGAGGACGGTTGCGGACGAAACCCTCTGTAAAGCACGTCGATACTCACGAGTCCCCAAAAGATAGCTATGTGCACGCGCCCCTCTATCTAGGGGACCTCGTTTTTCAACGGATAAGATACGTCTCGTAGAAACCACGCGCGCCCTGGTCGCAGCGACCCGGCCGCCAATGGGAAGATGGGCCAGCACCCCTGGACCAAGCAATAAAAAGTCCCGAAGAAGCCCGAAAATGGAAGTTCTCGAATTAGCAAGGATTGATCGGGGCAAGCGGAATCGAGGGATGAAGGGTCGTGAGAGCAAGGTAGGAATAATTGACATGTGCGCCCCGTACTCTATGTAACAGAGTGTGAGCAAACATCCTGCACAATTGCCGTTGGAAGGCTGGGTTTCCCGTGTCAGTGTTGACCCTTCTAGCTGGCAGTGCCGAAGACCTGTGACGCTGCAGAGACCATGTTTGCCAGTGCACCTACGGCTGAAGGCCACTAGGTCTGGCGCTGGGACTCCCCCGCAGACGAAACGGGTTCGCCCCCTCCAGGGAGTTCCGACCTGGCAGAGATCACTCACTACTGCACCGACGGCAGCGCGGTCTCTGGCCACCGCGAAGGTTCGGCACGGAGGCGCAAACATGGCGCCCAGGAGCCTGCCTGCCCCGACACCCTGGCGGACACACTGAAGCACAGGCTGCCGGGCGAGGTCGCCCGCGGGGCGACCCGCGGACCTCCCGGGACCGCGCGGGGGCGCCCAGGCGCCGGCAGGCGCGCGCGACCCCGCCCTCGCCCGAGAAGAGGTCGCCGAGGCGCTGGCTCCTCGGAGGCGCCCCGCGCCGCCCGCCGCGCGGCCTGCGCCCCGCGGCAGCAGTTTTCCTCGAGGCGCGCGTCGGGCGCCTCGCACCAGTTCCCTGGGCCGCCAGCGGCAGGTCGCGCCACGCACTGCTGGGCCTCGCCGCCCTCTCGCACCTGGCGACCGACTCGTGGCTCGCCCGGCGCCCTCTCTTCCGCACCTCGTCGAGGGGCCGAAACTGCTGGGCCCTGTCGATGCTGGGCCCGCTGCGTCCCATCACGCACGGCACCGCGGGGATGTTACGCCGGCTGCAGGTCTCGTGGAACTGCTTCACCAGCTCAGGGCGCGTGAACGTCCAGCCTGGCCTTCCACGACGAGCCCCCGCCAGGGCCATCCAGAGTGCCGTCATCCAGTGCTGCCACTTGCAAGCCAGGATCACGCTGTCGCCCATCGCCCCTGTCTCGGCGGTCACCCCTCTCGTCTGCAGTCAGATGATCAGAGACCAGTGCCCCGACGCGTCTCGCGCAGGGGGTCTAGGTCCTCGGGCTGCACCCCCATCGGCTCGCGCGGCCTGAGGTAGGCCCCAACGCCCAGCGGCATCGCCACGGCCATCAGCCCGTGCCCCCGCAGGCATAGGTCCGCGGCCACCGCCTTCCACACTGCCCGAGGCAGGGGACGCCTCGAGCGGCCGCACGCAAGGCGGCGCCGCCCGCGGACGCCGCGCTGGGCCCGCGGCACCCGCCGATTGACAGCCTTGCCAAGGGCCGAGCGGCGGTCCGCAAAGGCCACCCAGTGGTGGGTCGGGTGGGGGGTTCTGGGGAGTGGTTTCGGCTGTCCCCATGGCCGCTTTCCAAAGCATGCCCCCCGCCTGCTCCCTCTCCAGGCATGCGGCCACTCGGGATGCCGAGCCCGCCGCGGGGCAGGCGGCGCCAGCTTTGGCATGGCCAGCAGCCCTATGGCCGTTTCCACGGGTATGCCCCCCCGCGGGCTCCCCCTCAGGGCATGCGGCCACTCGGAGCGTGGCTGGGCGGGCGTGGGGTCTGTCGTGGGGGCAATGGGGTAAGGAGTGGTGTGGGTACACGTAGAAGGCGCACGTCGGGAGGTTGGGAGGCAGGCGGAAAACCCCATCATCGCCGTAAGCGTCGTTGGCGTTGCGATGGGTCCTGGCCCAGTTTCGCGGTGGCCTGGCAGGCGGCAGCTGTATTCCATGGCGCTCTGGTAAAACCTTGGGGACCTCTCTGACGATGCACTTGGCGGTGCGGCCGTAGTTGGTGTCATGTGGGACGTCAGGTTTGATGGCGTCGCCGATGAAGTGTCTTCTGAAGGCTACTTCCAGCACCTCTATCCGCCTGCTCCGAGCCGCTCGCCTGGCCGCGGTTGGCCCGATGTCTATGACCTGCCTGGCCCGGAGAGACGTGGCTGACCTTGGGGGGTGGGACTTGCTGCCGACGCCTATTTGGGCCGCCTCGCCAATCGGCCAGGCCCCCCGTAGCATTGCACACGTCGATGTCGAGGAGCGTCACAGGCTCCTCGGTTCCCATGACCCTCCTCCTGCCTCGTCCTCCTCATCATCCTACTCCTCCGCCTCCGACTCCACTAATGCTTCTCAACTCACCGGCCCAACGGGCCAGAGGCGTGCTAAGATCTCCGATAACAGGTTAACGATATTTCTAGTTCGCGCGCGCGTGGCGGCCCCTGGGGACCCCCGGACGAAAAGTACCACGGGCGATGCCCGGCCGATGCCTGGCCGACTCCCCAGGGGCGCTCCAGGAGCGCGCCAAGAGGGCGCCGAACGCCCCCTACACTGCCCAAGAGGCCCCGAGTCGCCGAAAGATCGCTCCAAGACGCTCAAGAAGTCGAAAACATGCTGGTAAGCTTAGGTATGTGTTACGCTTCAAGCGTTGCCATATCCCAGGCTTTGGCACCCCCCCCCCCCCCCCCCGCTCCATATCCGCATGAGCAAAGACAAGCGAGACGAAGCAATGGGAATTATCTGGAGTAAAGGATAAGATGAATGAAAAAAAATAAAAGAAAATAGAGAATAAAATAAAGAAGGCATCTTCAATGGAAAAGGTATTTTCCGATTCCTCCGATACCTAGTCGTTGCGCCTCGTGAGGCACACAAACAAGGGGGGGGGGGGGGGGGGGGGGGAGGGGGGGGATAGTCACATCCTGAATAAGTAAAAAAGATATACAATAAGATAAGAGTCCAAATATATTGGGCCGAGCCGCTTGAGCCAGGCATACGGCAAAAAAGAAGAAAATAAAAAAAAAAAAAAAATAAAAGCAAAAAAAATAAAAAAAAAACAATCAAAACCCCCCACCACCAACCAAAGCTTAACACATAGCTCGATTATAAACCTCGCCTTAACTTCTCCGTTTAAAGGCCGCTGGGTAGAGACAGCACAACCGCACTTCTACATTATGCGGAAAAACAGTGCTAAGCAGCAGCGGCTGCCTACAAGGCAAGGGCGCGCGAGTAGCCTCGCTACCGGCGAGTTTCCTCGCTACTAGAGCGCACCTGCCCGCGGGTTTCCCCGCTGGCTCGGGAGGCAGGGCCGTCCTGAGACGACCTGCCCGCCCTATACGGCGTATGTTTCTTCAGCTCGTGCTTGAAGGATTGCTGGCCGACCATTACTTGTAGGAGCAACGCGCGGTCAATGCTACCTTTGGTATGACCATCGGCAGTCATATCCCGCGTGTCACACCATTGAACGCTTTCAACGATTCCGCGCTCCATCATCTGGCGGATCCAGCTAATGTGCCCAAGCAGAGTACATTCTGTGGACTTCTTCAGATCTTTGCTAGACAAAGACTTGAAGACAGACTCGGCATCAATAGTCAGAGTGACTTTGATACATAGACCACCCATTTCCAATATGTTCTTTAACTGTGTGGGGGTCAATGGTCCCGAGTGTAGCTCGTGGAGCGTTACAATGGTCGGGTAGCAGTCTTCCAAGTTGAGGGCTGCTGCCAGTGTTTCCGCAGAGTAGCTCGAACGCACCTGCAGTCGATGAGACTTGCAGTATGCGTCCACCAGGTGCACGACGGGTTTCCCCGCTTGCGTGTGGCCACGCCTCAGCAGGTTAGCCCCGCGGATACCATAGCCTTTGACTTCGTCGTCTTCATCTCCATTGAGACGGCGATAGCCAGAATCGCTATGCAGGTCAACTTCGCCTGTTGGAGTCATAGCTTGATACACGATCTTCTTCGGACCTGCCTGTAGTTTCCTGGTAACCGCGTTTAGTCGTCGTACCTGGATGTTTGTCGGTTCCTGGATACGTTGTAGTGAGACAACATAGACCATCAGCCATACCTGCGTGATCAACGCATAGGCTAGAGCGCCACG